TGTACTATGGGGCTCGCACTCTCTACCCTGCAGAGTCAGTGGGAGCTTTTCCAGAAGATGCAGCCTCCAGCCCAAGGCCTCACATTTGCCTGCTCTCCCATTAAGCACTCCACTCACCCTTGGGTCCAGCCTATCTTTCTGCATCTGGATCCCCTGAGTACCTCTGCCTTCACATATTTTATGAATATATACACCCACTCATGCAACCACCACATAGATCAAGATATAGACTATTGATAGGTGCCTAGAAGGACCCTTTGTACCTCCTTCCAGTCGATATCTACCCTCAACACCAACCACTATTCGGGTTTGTTTTGCCGGTGTTTGAACTTCAGAGAGTGGAGTTGTCCTGTACGTACTCTTTTGTGTCTGGCTTCTTCCCTTCACCATTATGTCAGAGTGATTCATCCACGTTTGTGCAGCATGTTTTGTCCTTTTCCACTGTTGTATCCATTGTGATGGAGGATTCCAATGTCATTTCAATTTGAGTCCAATGTGTGGCCAAGATTGAGAACCACGGCTCTAGAGTCAGAAAAAACAGGGTTGAAATCCTACCTTCAAAACTACTTGACTTGAAAATGTTCCTGAAATGTCCACCATCAGGTGGCCTTTGGGATCCACTAGTCATTTGGCCTCCCTCAGTTACCACAGGACTCACTTGGCATCAGATTAACTCACAAGGGTCCAAGGTAAGAAACAGCATGCCAGAAGGACAGCATCTGGTCCTTCTGTTCTGCAGGAATTCTTGTAGGAGTTCAGTGATTACTCTTCTCTGGCCCCCGGGTGACAGCTCAGGTACAGGGAGACAAGATCACATCAGTGAATGTGATGACAACTTTAGTTTAGAAATGCCCTGTCACAAAGAGGAATCAATACGTTACATCTCATAGGCATAGTTTGCAGGTTCCCTGTGAGAGATGAGCCTAGTTACAAGAGTCACTGTGCTCAGGGAGGCCCAAAGCCATGGCTTCCCACCAGGGGCTTACACATCCCAGCCCAGGTGCACTTTACCCATCAGGGGTTATTTTTACCATAAGCAATGCTGCCTAATACCTAGCTGACGCTGCACCTTTATATTAGACTACCGGGGGACAAGGCTGTAAAGTTAACCAAATTTGTCCTCAGAGAAGGAGAAAGGGAAAACTCTTTATTCACACTCCCTCAGCTGACGCACCGACCTTTACAGAGTAGTTAACCAAGAGGATTAGGCCTGAAAACGTCCCTGTTCCTTGAGTCAAAAACAATATTTGGTAAATGAAGATGCTTGATAAATGTTTTTCAATGAGCAAATTAATGACAAATAGTAACATTAAAAGGTTGCATTAACTAAAACAAAAGAAAACTGCTGGGAGCCGTGGCTACATCATTTGATCGGCTGTTTGACAGGGTCCAGCCGATTAACGCCGAGGGGTGCAGGGCCGCCCCTTGGTGAAGAATAACCGGCCAGCCCCTCACACAGTTCTGAAACCTGTGCTGCTTCTATTTGCCCTTCATTCCTCTTCCTATCTTAACCTCGTTTTCACTCCTTTGGGTGGCTGCTTGGGAGGCACTACCTCCCGGGAAAATTAGATATAGTAAGAGAATGTGACCACCTGCAGGTAACTTTCAAGATATTTTTCAGTTAATTAATGGAGGAGCACACAGTCCCATGTGAGACAATCAGAAAGGAATCCTGCCCAGATAAGATGTCGAATTAGGTTTATGGCCTCTATCTGGTTAATGTTTCCTTCTCCCTCCAGTTCTTTGTCTAAATATACATACGCATCGTCCTTCTAAGTTTGTTGGTTAATTGGTTGATCAAGAAGTATCTATATATTATTCTTGACCTTCTGCTTTCTGTTAAAATGTTATAGAGGTTTTCTCCTAAAAGCAATAAATAATAAATAATTGGTGAGTAGAAGGGCCGAGGGGTGCAAGAATGCCCCTCGGTGAAGGATGGCCGGCCAACACCCCCGATATTTTCTGAATTATATGCATGCTTTCTATCAAGGTTATGTGTATACTTATTTCTCTTTTTTATTCTTGAAGATATATAGTTTAGTTTAGCTTTTCAGCCCTTTACTTTACTAACAATATGATACTTTCTCCGGCAGTGTACTTAAGGGACCGTTAGCTCTACAATCTAAAAGACAAAGGAATGCTTCCACCCCCTAAAGGGCGCGAAAAAGTAAAGATGTTTAACTGCCCGCTGAGAATGCAGATAGCCCTGGGGATAAGACACCCTGGAGTCACCTTTTGTTCCCATTAACCATCTACACTAATGACGTAAAATATTGAGGGAGGCAGGGATGGCTCCACCAGGATGTAACCAGACAGACTGCTGTCCTGTCCGGAGGCCTGGACCTTCTCTCTTTGATTTAACTTTACCGTGAATTACAACAGATGCCTAGGTACCTATCTCCTTTAGCTTAGAGACAACAAACACTAGTTAATTGCGGAGAAGACGATCATTAACCTTATGCTCTATAGAATGGAATGCTAATAAATATTCTTGTGCTCGTTTCTTACTTCCTTATCTCTCTGAGAATATTTGTAAAACTATTTCTGTACTAATCCTGAAAAATATATAAACGACACTTGTGCACAGTAAAGTCGGACTTGCTAACACCAACCCAAGTCTCACATCCCCTTTATTTTCCCCCTCCCTCATCGCGCCGACGCCGTCCATCCCTCAGGAACCTGGACTCCGCCGGGGCGGGACCCCGGCAGAAAACCACTTGATTACTCTATTACCTTGGACAAGTCAATTTCTCGAAATCCCTGACGCCTCTTTTGTAAAATGGGAATAATGATAATTCACATCTCATTGGGATTGTTGTAAGGATTAAATGAGGTAATGTAGGTAAAAGATATTACAAAAAGCCGTACATAAACTCTATTATTATAGATGGAGAGAGGAGGCTTAGAGAGAGAAAAGGATTTGCACCAGGTCACATATGGTGGCAGAGCTGTCCAGGTCTCTTGAGTCCCAGCCCAGTGGCTGTCCCCAGTACCATGTGACCTCTTCACACAAGTTGTCTTACCCAGTTAATGGTTAGGAAATCAGAAATTTCAGACCAATCAAGATTTTCGTCCAGGAGAGAAAACTATTGCGAAGGTCCACGTTGCACTATAGACCCCTCACCCGTCCTTCACAGGACACAGTCCATTCAGGTGCACTTCTCCTAGTAGTAAGGGTGAGATCAAAGTTTTCCTCAAGGGCATAAGAAAAAGTGAAACACACATTCTCAGCTTGCTGCTGATTGGCAAATGGAGGGCAAACAGAACCTCTGAGCATTTATTCTTGAAGACTCTGGTTCTGCAGGAAGGGGAATGTGAAAAGCAACATGATCAGAATGTAATGAAAGAACGAATCTCCATCGGAGTCAGATACCATTGTTTAAAAAAATAGTGCCATGGGCACAAGTCACAAAACCAGAGGCTTCCCCCAGTGTTCTTTGACTCCATCTTTTTAAGCTGTTAAAAACACCCTTAAAATAAACCCACCACCTGGGAGGACAAGAAAAGGGTTACTGTTCTTTCCACCACCACCTGCAGGGCTCGCTCTGCTTTAGGCCTCCTTGAGCCACACTCCCCCGACTCCAGCCTGTTCTTCACAACATGTCAGGGTGGGGTTGCTTATAGTCTCTCTCGCCAACTTAGCAAAATTCAGTTACAATTAAAATTTGGAGTGAACTGAGGAGAGACTACAGAGATAGTAGTTTGCTTCACAATGCATTTTATTCTCGTATTTTCACTTTTGCTAATAATAGTTTCTGACATTGTGCTGGGCCTATTTGTGTTTATCAGTGTGAGTTTGGATTGGGTCAGTTTGTGAGTAGGGTCAGGGCTCAGCCTACATCTAGGATGAGAGTTCACTCTGCTACTGGGATCATGGCTTAGACTGTGGTTGGGCTCAGGGTTCACCTTGTAGCTGTGATTAGGGCTCAGTCTGTGGTGGGCTATGAGTATGGTCTGTGACTAGGGTAGAGACCTGTCTGTGATTGGCATTAGGGCCTATGCTGTGATGGAATCAATCTCAGCCTGTAACAGAGATTTGTTCATGGTGAGCACTAGGATTCCATCGGGGCCTCAGGAGAGGGCTGTATTCCAGGAAAGAAGGGCAGGAAGCATTGGTCAGGAGTCCTACATCCTAAGAGTCCTTTGAGTGGCTGTCAGGCCAGAGGACTGAGCAGATGGGAAACTAGAGATCAAAGTGGTGGGGCTCAAGACAGAGTTGGTAACCCCCATCAAAATGGCTTAAATTACAAGGACTGGCAATATCAAGCATGAGTGAGGATGTGGAGCACCTGGAACTTTCTTCTATTGCGGGTAGGAGTATAAATTGTACATCGACACTGGACAACTGCTTGGCAGTCTATATAAAGCTAAGTATATGTATACCCTACAGTTCAGCATTTCTGCTCCTGGAATAAACAAACAATGGCTACACACAGCACAGGTGAATCCCATGAAACAGTGTTAAGAAAAGAACCCAGACACCAAAGAGTAGATACTTTATGATTCCACTTATGTGAAGTTTGAAAACAGGCAAAATTCATCTATGATGATAGAAGTCAGAGTAATGGTTACATTTACAGGGTGCTATGGCCTGGAGGGGGCATGAAGGAGCCTTCTCGAAAAATGGTATACCCTACATTTTGATCTGGATGGTGGTTACACACGTGAACGTATATAAAAATTCATTGAGATGAACACAATATTTGTACACTTCACCACGTGTAAGTTATATCTCAATGAGAAAAAAGAAAGTAGGTGAAAAAATATAGAAGCATGGTTGGCTAAAGACTGGTTGGGGAGTTAATTCCACAGTCGTGACTTTTCTGCCGTGACAGTTGTGATGTTTGGCCATGGCTTGTTGAGCCTGGTTCGGGGGGGGTGGATGACTAGGAGTCAGGAGTCCTGAGTCTGGATCTCAGCCCTCTGCTTAGCATGTAATCCAGTGGGAAGCACTAGTGTGTTGTGATCAGTGAAGAGGCGAGTTACAAATTATTCATTGGTGATTATAAATCACTGAAGCTTTTAATAATTTTCTCTTAATCCATTTGAATTCATAATACACGCATTTGGTTAAAAACAAATTAAATCTTATGCAAGAGTATACAGTCCATTTTCCCCCATCCCTGACTCCAAACACCAGTCCACCAGTCTCCCTCTTGAGAGGCAACCACTGTCATCAGCTTCCTAAATATCCTTCCAGAGATAGTCTGTACATATTCATGAAGGACTTCCCTGAAGAAAATCAGAGCAGACTCAAGGTATGCCTATAATAGTGTTGCTTGCGTACTGAACGCTTTCTTTTATTTTCAGAATGGAACTTTTCATTATAAAAATAATACATGCTTATTTAAAAATTGCATAAAGTAAAAGTGAAAGTTCCCTCCACCCACTCTACCACCGCTCGCTCCTCAGTTCCAGAGTTAACCACGGTTAAGTCTCCTCTGTGGCCTCTCTGACGACTTCATACCTGTGTAAACACACACAGAATACTACTATAAATAGCCAATTTGCAATCTGATTTTTTTCATAACAATACATCAGAGATATCATTCCACATCAATTACGTATAGCTCTAAACACCCTTCTTAATGGCTGCTTAGCATCAAATACTCTTCAGTGGGAGAGAAAGGGATGAAGATATGGCAGGAGTTCCACACGGGAGTGTGTCCCCTGAAAGCGTCATCTATCATATGCATCTCAGAAGAAAAAAATGTTGAAAATAGCTGATTTAACCCATCTGGGTCTCAGTTTCTAATCTGCAAAATGGAGGTAATCATGAGAGCCCTGACTCCCTCCCAAGATTACGTAGATCACCTCACAAGGACACACAGAGAGGAGGAGAGCAGGTGACAGAGTACTTAGCAAACAGGTGCTGCGCAAACGTGAGACACTGTTGTTCCTGGAGGGGAGAAGGGCGGCAGTAGTTCCAGGGTCTGGGGTCTAACAACCGGCACTAATCATAACTGCTTTTCCTGCCCTTCCTGGCTGAATGAGCTGTCCCTCTTTGCATAATAATTGTGAGCATTTGTTGAGTTCTTCCTTTGCCAGGCATTCTTCTAAGATATGTATAAACAAACCTGCATTGAATCCCTCTGACAACCCCATGAGACAGGCACTCTTACTATCCCCATTTGACTGCTGAGGCAACTGAGGCAGACATCGTCGGCACGCGGTGGTCTTCCTTCTGAACTACACCAAACTCTGAGCTGTTCACATTGGAGGCTTTTGCCATGCTTCAGCTCCAGGGTTGGCCTGTTACTTAAACTGATGGTTGGGGTGTATGCATTAGAGAAAGAAGTGGCTCATCCTACTGGTACCAAAAAATAAAGAGCAACCGATGACAAAACCCCTGAGTCTCACAGGTAGTCACACTGCTCTGAGACCCTTCGTGACCCTCCTCTGCCAACTAAAAGCCTAGCTCCTCAGCCTGGTGGTCCAGGCCTTCCTTAGTCTGATCAAATAACCTTTACTGGCCTTTGTGTTATACCACAGGAACTTCTAAAACCATTTTCTCCATCATTTCATACCTGTCTGGGAGCCTGTCATGGTTTGAATTGTGTCCCCTGAAAAAAAGAGTTCTGTTGAAGTCCTAACACCAGATCCTTCAGAGTGTGACATTGCTTGGAAGTAGAGTGGGTACAGATGTAATCAGTTGTGATGAACTCACACTGGAGTAGGGTGGGCCCGGACTCCTATGACTGGTGTCCTTATGGGAAGATGGCCACAGGAAGAGACCCACAGGGAAAGCACCATGTGACCATGAAGGTAGAGACTGCAGTTACGCAGCTGCAAGCCAACGAAGGCCAACGATTGCCATAAGCCCTCAGGAGCCAGGAAGAGGAAGGAAGGATTCCCCTACGGGTTTGGAGGAAGTGTGGTCCTGCCGACACCTTGATTTGGGACCTCTCCTCTCCAGAACTGTGAGACAACACATTTCTGTTATTTTAAGCCACCCAGTTTGTAGTGCTTTGTTACCACAGCCCCAGGACACTAATACGGAGCCTCAGTCATTTAACTCCAGCTCTGCACACCTAGCCCAAGATGCATCAGGCCTTCCTCCCCCATCCCGTTCCTGTTCTCTTAGCTGGCCCAAGCATCCTAGGCAGTTTGCTTGTACAACACTCAAACAGTCACACCCATGACACGCCCATCTCTTCCAGCAGACAGCACACCAGCAGTCTGTTTACTTCTCCACACGCCCTGTGCTGGGTGGCCAGGTCCCCTGCCCCTGCCTCTTCCCAGCTCAGGGCCAGCCCGGCCCCTCTGAGGAGACAGTAGAGTGAAGCCCCCTTCTGGGTTGCCTAGGCTACAGTGCCATCTGAGTGCCCTTGAGCCAAGCAGCTGTGGCTGCAGGGAAGGGAAAGACCAAGGGAAGGGGGAGGAAAGGAGGGGGGTAGGGGAAAGACCCAAGGAGAGTCCTTAAAAGTGGCTTTAGGGGCCAGCCCTAGAGGCATAGTGGTTAAGTTTGCACACTCTGCTTCAGCAGCCTGGGGTTTGCAGGTTTGGAACCCTGGGCACGGACCTATGTGCTGCTCATCAAGCCATGCTGTGGTGATGTCCCACATACAAAAAATAGAGGAAGATTGTCACAGATGTTAGCTTAGCGACAATCTTCCTCAGGTGGAAAAGAGGAAAATTGGCAACAGATGTTAGCTCAGGGGCAGTCTTCCTTACCCAAGGGGAAAAAAAAAGTGGTTCTAGTACAAAACCAGAAGGTGCAGTTAAAACTGCAGCCTCACCATAACAAGCATTATAAAGCAACATCGCCATCTTGCCACCACATGGAATCCCATATGAAGCCAACATGGTGGTGAGCACAGCTGAGAGATGGAGGAAGACTGGGAGCTGATGACATCGTTGGAGCCCCCAAATTGAGCCGTGCCAGATCCACTCCAGAATTTGGGTTATAGAAGCCAATAAATTCTATGTTTCTTAAAGTGGTTTATGTTACTTCCAATTCAAAATATTCAATAAAAGATACATTAGAAACTCTTTTAACTGATTAATCAGATTAACCAATGTGTTCCATTCTGTATGTAAAATATACTACCAATTTATGCCTCTGTATACTGAACACTCACAGTTAATAGGCTGCTTTCGCTGGTACTTTGTCCCCAAACATGTTTATGTCAGTTGTATTTATCACTGCAATTATATTTTTAATTAAACATTAAGTAAACTGCAGAAACACAAGTACAAAAGGAAAGATAGTTCCTGGCTCTATGAAAACTAAGTTAAATGCTTTCAAAAGACTTGATTAAAAAAATTGCTTTTGGGATAGATATGTACGCATACATAGTTAAAATGCAACAATAAAAACAGGGATGGGTTTTACACTCAGCTTTGGAAGGGTCTTTAGGTTCTTTTTATCCTCTGAAGAAGCCAGTGCTGGAGACAGTGGATGATGCATACTGGGTGAGAAGGAGACTATTAATTGTCTCATAAGAAGGCTTGCAGCTTCCACCTGGGACATCTCGAACGTCTGCTCTGGGGAAGCTGGGCACCAGGTAAGATGTTTGTCTATCCCAAGACTACCACGCTGCTACGAAGCCCAACCTAGCCACACTGTGAGAGAGAGTCACCCTGCTAACCCCCAGCTATTCCAGCCATCTCAGCTTAGGTTCCAGAAAGCGAGGGAGGAAGCCATCTTGGATCTCTAGCCCAATGGAGCTTTCAGATGCCTCCAGCCCTAGCCACCATCTGACTGCAACCTTATAAGAGATTCTGAGTGGGAACCACCCACCTGAGCTCAGTCTACCCACAGAACCATGAGAAATAATAAGAAATTATTGTTTTCAGCCACTTAATATTAATTTTTTAATATTAATAATTTAATAATTAATATTAATTTAGCTTGGTTTGTTGTGCAGCAATGAATAACCAGTCTTTTGTGGATGAAAGAAGAGAGTTACAAGAAAAGGGAGGTGGCCCCTAATGTCAAATATCATAAAGAGATCATGGAGGGTGAGAAAAGGCCACTGTACTTAGCAATTGCAAAGTCACCATTGTCCCTCCAGCACTGCAGTTTTAATAGAATGGTGGCAGCAGAAGGCACATTGGAAGTGTTCTTGGGGCAAGTGAGTGGTAGGAAATAGATACAATGGTAGACTGGTATTTTCTCTTCCTTTCTTTTTTAATAGTTTAACATTTGCTGATGAACCTTGCCTGAATCAATTATGTTATTGGAGATTGCAAAATGGTGACTTCCTAATTCTATCAGTCTTTCTATGTTAATTAGCTGACATTCTTCTGTAAAGAAGAGTTTTCACTCATCAATTGGAGATGAACCTAATTTCTTCCTAAAATGGCAGGTTAAATGCTTCGTTCTTTCTAATCACTAATTTCCTGACAAAGGAGTTAATGTCACAGTATTTCCATTGGTAGCAAATAAGTTTTTTTCCTCCCTTTCTTCTCCCTTTCTCTCTTCAAGCATCATTATGGACTCATGTATCACATTTGTTCAATGTGTTACAATCAATTATAGGCTAAATTACTCTTTAAAAAAGGAACAGAGGATAGGGCTAAGGGTGTGATCATAAAAGGGTGTGATCATAAAATTCCTGGAAGAATATAGTGGTTAAAGAAACACACACATACACCCCCTTATCAGTAACAAAAAATTAAAATTAAAACTATATAGAAGAGAAAAAAACTATAAAATATGCAGTTCTCCTACTGGATATATAACCCAGAGAAATTGTCACATAGGTCCCATAAATTGTGTGTATAAAGATATTCACAGCACCTTTGTTTTTGGTTGTGGGAAGTTGGAGACAATTTGGGTGTCCCTGATTGAAGAAGTCCTTAGGTAAAATGTGGCGGAGTACTAAGCAGTAGTTCAAAGCAATGGGCCAGATCTTAAAAACATGTTGCTGCATGGAAGAAAAAAAAGAAAAAATATATAATTCTAATTATATAAGAAAAAAAATATGTATTTAAAATAGTAATACACATTTAAAATAAACACAAACAAAAGGATATACACTACAGACACTGGAATGATTTCTTATGGTGGGAAACAGGAATGAAATTGGAAAATATGGATAAAAGAGAGTAGTAAATAAATAAAGAAAATCAATCCAGAGGCTTTGCAAGTGAGGAATAGGATGAAGTTAATCCCCCATATTTAAGTAGAAATGAAGAAATGATTAAATAAATAAATTGCTACAATTTTTATGGAAAGTAAAACATTTAAAAACATTGACCTGGCAATTCTAATTTTAGGAATCTAGCCTAAGGAAATAGAAACTCATTAGTGTTACAACAGTGAGAAAAAAGGTCAGTGTGTGTTCTTTTGCCCTTGCCCACACCCCATAATATACATCCCCAGGTGTTTCAGGGAGACCCGAGAGGTGTTTCACAGGTGTTTATGATGTGCTTGAGAACAAGTGTAGTCATGAGGTATTGGTGGTTAAATTCATCACCTCCTGCTCCAGCCCCCTCCATTTGGCATTGCAATTTCCACTGCCTTTGATTGTCATTGAGTTCTACCTCATCTGAAGTCCTTCAGTTGCTAAGGCTGCAGAATATTCTTCTGTGGTGTAGCTGAGACTATCTTGCTCTTGCTTTAGTTTTACATACTATTAGAAGTCTAGTAGGGGGCCAGCCCAATGGCATAATGGTTAAATTTGTGCACTCTGCTTTGGTGGCCGGAGGTTTGTGGGTTCAGATCTACATACCACTCATCAAGCCATGCTGTGGCCACATCCCACATACAAAACAGAGGGAGATTGGCACAGATGTTAGCCTAGGGACAGTCTTCCTCATAAAAAAAAAGTCTATTGTTGTGTAACAATTTTTCAGGAAATAACTCTTTCAATAATTTCTTACAATCTCTCTCCTCTGTCTATCCGCCCCCCCCCCCAAATTTGCAAACCAAGCTGGAAGACAAATGAAAGAAATAGATATGCTGGGTTTGAAAGTGAAATGGGAAATGCAAATCACAACCACAATGAGATATCACTTTACACCCATTAGGAAGGCTAATATACAAGAAAAAAGGAAAATAACAAGTTTTGATAAGAATGTGGAGAATTGGAACACCCTTGTATTGCTGGTAGGAATGTCAAATGGCACAGCCACTATGGAAAACAGTTTGTGGTTACTCAAAAAGTTAAGCATAGGAGGGGAGTGATATCAGCATCATGGTAGAGTGAGGACTGCTGGTGATCTTTCCCCTCCATGATACAATGCAAAGGACAATCATAAACCAACAGAGGACATACACACAACACAAAAGACATCTGAGAGACCCACACAGCCATGCAATGGAGGATGGAGAGGCTGCAGCCCCCCTGGGACGAGGTGGAACAGAGTAAGAGAAAACTTCACTCCCTTCCCAAAAAACTGCGATCCAGGACTGCATGTGGCCTCCAAGAGGGAAGGAAGGGGTGGGAACACCCGTTTGCAGGAACATCGAAGATCCCCAAGGTCCCTTGCAGCCTAGGGGAAAGCCCCCTACTGAGGTGAAATCTATTATGGGGGTGCCTTCACCAGTCAACATCCCAGGAGAGCAGAGTAAGCCTGTGAGAGCACAGAAGAAAGACCCTTCCCCCCAACCCGCCCAGCGCAGGCTCCAGCACCTGGGATCCCAGCAGAATGGAGACAGCTCAGAATATGCAGCTCTTGACCCCCACTCAGTGGCAACAGGTAGTAATACCAGGTGATCAATAATACCAGGATGTGGAAGAACAGAGTGACGCCCTCTAGCAGTATCAAAAATTATATTAAATTGGGGCTGGCCCGGTGGCATAGCAGCTAAGTTTGCGCACTGCGCTTTGGCAGCCTGGGGTTCACAAGTTTGGATCCCAGGCATGGACCTATGCACAGCTTATCAAGCCATGCTGTGGCAGGCATCTCACATATAAAGTAGAGGAAGATGGGCACAGATGTTAGCTCAGGGCCAATCTTCCTCAGCAAAAAGAGGAGGATTGGCAGCGGATGTTAGCTCAGGGCTAATCTTCCTCAAAAAAAAAAAAAAAAGGAAAAAAATTATATTAAAACTTCAGACCAGAGAGAAAAATGACAAGTACCCAGAAATCAGTCCTGAAGACACAGAAATATGTAATCTAAATGACAGAAGAATTCAAAATAGCTATCATAAAAAAACTCAACAAGTTAAAAGAGAATGTAGAGAAACAATTCAACAAGCTCAGGAGCTACTTCACAAAAGAGATTGAAAGTATAAAGAGGAGCCAATCAGAAATATTAGAGATCAAAGACACAATGGGTGAGATAAAACAAATTATGGATTTCCTGAATGCTTGAGTGGATATCATAGAGGAGCAAATCAGCATAATCGAGGATAGACACATTGCAATGCTCCAGATAGAGGAGGAGAGAAAACTAAGACTAAGAAGAAATGAAGAAAATCTCTGAGAAAATAGCTGACTCAGTTAGGAAATGTAACATAAGAATTATAGGTAGCTCAGAGGCAGAAGAGATGGAGAATGGAGTAGAAAGCTTGTTCAAAGAAATAATAGCAGAGAACTTCCAAAACCTGGGGAAAGAGATGGAAATCCATGTGAAAGGGACTCTCAGATCTCCTAAATAAGTCAATGTAAAAAGACCCACTACAAGCCATATAGTAGTGAAACTGGCAAAAATGAATGATAAAGAAAAAATACTAAGGGCAGCAAGGCAGAAAAAAATAACCTATAAAGGAACCCCTATCAGGCTTTTAGCAGATTCCTCTGCAGAAACCTTACAGGCCAGGAGAGACTAGAATGACATATTCAAATCTTTGAAGGTCAAAAACTTTCAGCCAAGAATACTCTATCCAGCGAAAATATCTTTCAGATATAGTGGAGAAATAAAAGCTTTCCCAGATAAACAAAAGCTAGGGGAGTTTGTAGCCACGAGGCCTCCATACAAGAAATCCTCAAGAAGGCACTCATACCTGGAAAAAAAAAAAGGAGAAAGGGGTTACAAAGCATGGAGTAAGGAGATACATAGGTAGACAAAAACAGAAAATTGTAGTTATATATCAGAAGAGGTTAGTGAATATTGAAGTATAACATTAAAGATAAAGGGAAGGAGGGGCCAGCTCAGTGGCACAGCAGTTAAGTGCACATGTTCCACTTTGGCAGCCCAGGGTTCGCTGGTTTGGATCCTGGGTGCAGACATGGCACCACTTGACAAGCCATGCTGTGGTAGGCATACCACATATAAAGTAGAGGAAGGTGGGCACGGATGTGAACTCAGGGCCAGTCTTCCTCAGCAAAAAGAGGAGGATTGGCAGATGTTAGCTCAGGCTAATCTTCCTCAAAAAAAAAAAAAAAAGATAAAGGAAAACATGAAAAACAAAGATAATATTGTCATTTTAACCTCAACTCACAACACAAGATGGAATAACATGTGACAAAAACAACATAGGAGGAGAAGAATAAAGGGACTGAATTGGTTTAGTCTAAGGAAATAAGAGGCCGTCAGAAAATGGACTATCTTATACATGAGATTTTGCATACAAACCTCATTGTAACCACTAAACAAAAAAGCAGAACAGAGACACAAATAATAAATAAGGAGATAACAAAGAAACACAACATAAAAAACTACATAACTCACTTGGTAGACCGAAACACACAGGATGAGAAACCAAGGAAATGCAAGAGAACTGGAAAATGAGTGATAAAATGGCAACATTAAGCCCTCATATATCAATAATCACCCTAAATGTAAATGGATTGAATTCTGCAACAAAAAGACACAGAATGGCCAGATCAAGATTAAAGAGCAAGACCCAACAATATGCTGCCTTCAGGAAACACATCTCAGTTCCAATGACAAACACAGGCTCAGAGTGAAGGGGTGGAAGACAATACTCCAAACTAATGGCAAACAAAAAGAAGCAAGTGTCACAATACTTACATCAGACAAAGTAGACTTCAAGATAAGACAGATAAAGAGAAACAGAGAAAGGCAGTACATAGTGATCAAAGGGACACTCCACCAAGAAGACATAACACTTATAAATATCTATGCACCCAACACAGGAGCACCAAAGTTAATAAAACAACTATTAACAAACCTAAAAGGAGATATTAATAATAACACAATAATAGTAGGGGACCTCAATACTCCACTCACATCAATGGATAGATCACCCAGACAGAAAATCAACAAGGAAACAGCGGAATTAAATGAAAAGCTAGACCAGTTGGACTTAACTAGACATATATGGAATACTCCATTCAAAAACAGCAGAATACACATTATTCTCATGTGTGCACAGAACATTCTCAAGGATAGACTATATATTGGGAAACAAGGCAAGCCTCGAAAAATTTAAGAAGATTGAAATAATAACAATTACCTTTCCAATCACAATGCTATGAAGCTAGAAATTAATTACAAGAAAAAAACTGAGAAAGGGACAAGAATGTGGAGACTAAACAACACGCTATTGAATAACCAATGGATCATTGAAGAAATTAAAGGAGAAACTAAAAAACATCTGGAGGGGCCAGCCCCGTGGTGCAGAGGTTAAGTTCGTACATTCTGCTTCAGTGGCCCAGGGTTCACCGGTTTGGATCCCGGGTGTGGACACGGCACTGCTGGGCAAGCCATGCTGTGGTAGGCGTCCCACATATAAAGTAGAGGAAGATGGGTGCGGATGTTAGCTCAGAGCCAGTCTTCCTCAGCAAAAAGAGGAGGATTGATAGCAGATGTTAGCTCGGGGCTAATCTTCCTCAAAAAAAAATCTAGAGACAAATGGAAATGAAAACATACCACACCAACTCATATGGGATGCAGCAAAAGGCTACTAAGATGGAAATTCATTGCAATACAGGCTTACCTTAACAAACAAGAAAAATCCCAAATAAGCAGTCTCAAACTACACCTAACTGTATTAGAAAAAGAAGAACAAAGC